TATGTACATACATGCACACATACATACATACATACATACATACATCCATGCATACATACATACATACATACATATGAACATATGCATGCATGTATGTATGTCTGTGCACGTGTGTGTGTGTTCACGAGGGCTTTGTGAAAGCGCATCGCTTGCTGATACGTCCGGGAACCGCAGCCCGCGTATGGCTTTAAGCAAAGAAGCCCTCCAGTCCAGCAGTCAAGCCCTGCGGGTTTGGATTACGCCGGGCTTCAACAAGGCTCCCATTGCATCTTGCACCCTTCAGTAATCACCCAAGCTGCGACCCCATCGGCTAAATCCCAAAATGCCACCGGAAACCCAACTCCGGAGGGTCGAGAGCTCTGCAGGAGGCGCCGTTCTGGCCCTCGGCCCGCCAGGCTCCGAGGCCTCGGATTGCAGGGATCTTGGCTTGGTTTAGGTTTGGACGGTGTTGTTTTGGTGTCGGGGCCGGAAATGTCCTTAAGAGCTGGGGTATGGAACTGGTTTCGGGGGCGATGACTGCAGGTTTGATACTTTCCGGTTGCTGCTGGATGCGGGGGCTTCGGGATGTCGGGGGCTCGGTGTGCGGATTTCGGGTTGTGCTTCGGGGCATGCGGCCTTAGTGGCGGAGAAAGGGTCTAGGCAGACGTTATTGTTAAACAGTTCGGTTGGTTCTGCTTATCGGCAGTGTGCATGCCGGCCCACTCCATCCGCACTGCACAGCAACAACCACATTCCTAGCAAGTCAGACTCCCGAAAGTGCATAGCCCATTTTCGACAACGCAAAATGCAATTTGGCAGCTGTTCTGCATCTTACAGTTCCTGTAGACTAGAGAGCCCGTCCAAGTAGGAGTTTACAAGGACTGCAACATTTGGAACATTGCTCGGTTCCGGGCAACCTCTGTGGAAGCAATGGCCGCAGTACAAGCGGGTGAAGGGCGTGTCCTGAAGAAACCGTCACTATAGTTTAGCATTTCTGCCGGGGTTGGGGTTTACTACACGGGCCTCAACGTGCAGGGTTTTTGTTTTCAGGTTTGGTTTAGTTTAATTAGCTTTATGAGGCCTTAGTGCCATCGGCTGCATAGCCTTGGGGCGTTGGACAAGCTCCCGCTACAGTACTCTGCGCAAGTCTTTTGGCACCACGGATCCGCAGACCGAGGCCCCCACACCACCCTCTGGGCCTTCCATGCAGATGACCTGAGCTGCAGCCAGGGCCAACTCGGGACCCACGCAGCTTTTGCTTTTAGCTTCAGTTCGGGACGAGGGGGCTTGGCTCTGTCGAGCTCAGGAAGGCTAAGGGAGGGTTCCTCGATCAGCATCGTAGATGTCAGAGAGCTCAAGGAATGCACATCAGACACGGTCAATGAGGCTAAGAAGAGCCGCAGACCTGCAGGAAGCCGCATTGCTGGCATGCACTCGCAGCGCTCGTCCAGGCATTTCCGTTCTCCAGACTCAAGATGCTGTGCAACCTTGCCAAACCCTCGAGAGAAGCCTGGAAACTTCGCTGCAGAACCAGCGCACCATGCCGGAGTCTCCTGACTCCGCGCACCTCTAAACACCCGTCTCGGGGGCCTTGCCTTCAGCATTCCGCGCCGCACCCGAGCCCCCCACGCACATCTCGCCTTTGAGCTCCTCTGCTGTGGCAGATATGTCCTCGCCGAGCACCTGCGGCTCGGGCTGATGAGCTCGGGGCTGAAGCTGTGTGTTTCAGGCGGATCTTGAGAGGGGCTGTAATGAAAAGGTAGGGTTTTGGAATTTTTTGGACAGCAGGTGCACAGGGACTACTAGCCACACTACAGGGGAATACTATTTTGAGGCCTTCAGGGCTCTGTGAAGCTCATTCTCAATCCTTGCGTCCTAGCTTGGATTCCGACCTCGACGAGATCAACCTTCCCTTACTTGTTGGAGGCTCTCGGCTGCATTTGTCAACCTACCCTGTGTCCAACCCGAAACTCCTACAGGTAGGACCTATGACATGTCCCCACGACATGTCCCTCTTACTATAATTCCCTAAAGCCCTGAATCCTAAACCCCGACAGCTCAAACGCCAAGCTTCCATGAACCCTTCATGTAGAACTGAGATGCCGGCCGCTGCTTCTGCCACCTTTACTCTCTCCTCTTCGCTTGCAGCCTCAGGAACCGCCTCGGTCTGCTTGCTCCGCAAGAAGTTGAGAAGCGCAGGATGTTTTTCGCGCTGGAGATTGGGGTCTATACGAAGTACACGGCGAGCAGGGCTGGGCGGATCTTCGGGTTTAAGCTCCCTGTTGCCTGAGCATTGTACAGCGACCTCGATCCTTTTGGGGACTCCAAGTAGTCCCTTGGTGCCATGGTGGAATTCCGGCTTTTCTAAGACCCCGCATATCGTAAATCCAAGGATTCTACGAAGGGTCTCGGTTCAGAAAGCAGACCAGCCCGGCCACCTGCAGCCGACGCACCCCTGCTTGAAGGCCCAAGAACTCAGACATACACTACCATCCGAAACCTTGAGTTTCACAATCTCGTAGTACGTCCGATTAAACTAGCACATTCTATTGTAGTATACTGTGTTATGCCTGACATCCGAAGTTTCATCTGCCAGTATACTGCTCTATGAGGATTTCGGGACCCTGCCAAGAGCGCTTCGAAGGCATGGAGTGATCTGGGCTGCAAGGTCGGCCGCATCCTAAGCCCGAGGATGCAGGGCTCGCATCTTTTCGCGTTACGTGAAGGGATTCGTTTGGGCTGTAAGAAAGCTTGGGGTCTGTGATTTGCAGAGATACGGCTTTAGTGCACCTCAGCTGGATATGTTTGGTGTAGAGTCTTCGGAAGCTGACGCTCACGTTGTTTTGCCTGCAGAACCATTGGCTACACTGAAGAACTGAAGACTGGAACGATCTCAGAGTCATCTGAGCTCAATGCATCGCCGGAGCGAGCATGGCCGGAATCTCCTGCCGCGCACGAGGCAGTACCAAACCGATCCGAATCATAAACGTGTCAGGATTTCGGGGTCTATGGCTTGCTTCGTCGTAGGACTTAGATCCGAGCTTTTTTCGTACGTGCCACGTCTGGCTCCGGGCACAATAGGATACGGCTGCACGGCATGTCACCATGCCTATCAGGCCTATCAACAAGTATGGCTATTATCAGTACATATTATGCAGGTCATCGCCGCCTGAGAACGAGTGATCACCAACAGATGGGCCATGAATAACGGCGATACTGCAGCTGGGCGTGAGCAGCGATCATGCAGAAAAAATACCATTCGGAAGTCCGAACGCTCGTGCTGCAGTCGAGAGAGAGACACACAATGAGAGGGAGAGCGAGAGAGCGAGAGAGAGAGAGAGAGAGAGAGATGGAGAGAATGAGAGCAAGAGAAAAACAAAACAACCAGACACAGAGAGAGGGAGAGAGAGGACAAAGGACAGATGGATAGGCGGTCGGATGGACAGGCACGCAAAACAAACAGAGACAGAGGCAAAGCTGACAGAGGGAGAGAGTTGGGATGGAGAGGTGATGGGTGATGGCGTGCCTGTGCCCAGTTGGCACGGTTCAGCAGGGCTGGACACCTCTCGAGCAAGGGCTCGAGTAGTCTCTCCTGGACCAGGGCGACAGAGATATCGCGTGATGTGGAGGTGCGGATTATCCAAGCTTAAAACTTAGTGCTCCTTACCGGTGTGCGATGACTTCTCCTGCAACAGATGGCAGAAGAAACCTGCCTTAACCCCAAGCCTTACACCCACACGGTGAGTCATCTGGGGTTCGCGCTCTTGTGCCACCCAAAGCAGCAACAAGGTGAAGTACTGTGGAACCACCAGCCAAGCCTCCGCAATGTGGGATTCTTGCGGGGACTTGATTCGTTTGTTGGGTCTGAGGACGGTTGGGCACTCTGGGAAAATTATTCTGTGTGCCTTCAGGAGGTCCAAGTTGCTGGCAAAGTAGGATGTGCAGCCGCGAACCCTTCAGATGATTCCTGCTCCCACAGCAATGCCCAAGCCTACACGCCAGCAAAGCTCTCCAGGCAGCGCCTGACGAGGCAGCGTGGATTCAGGTTTGCTTGAAGTTGCAGTTTTAGCCCTACACCGCTCCATACCAGCGACAGCAGTGTATCTCACAAACCATGCAGAAAGACTTAAGCTGGTAATGAGCTGGTCGTAGTCCTGCGCAGACTCAATCCATGGTTGCACCTGAGAAGACCCAGAAGCCTTCTCTGCATTGTCCGCAGAAAGCTATGGCCTCCTCCAGATTCGAAGGTGCGCAGAGTGGTAGAAGAACCTCGGGCTCGCCAGCACCCAGAGCTTGAGTCTGTTGCAGAGTCACTGTAGAGTTCATCGTATGGTCGGGTGTCTGGACGAGGCAGACCTGAAAGCTGCCATGTTCTCGAGACCGTGAGTCACACTCAACTCCCCCCAAATCCGAATCAACAAAGACAAGCTGGGCAAGCAAGAACGATCCTCGGGCCCTTGGGCCGGTGCCAAAGCTGCGAGGCATTCCCCGCACCTGGTCGCAACGTGGTCGGCTGTTCTACAACTAGTCAAGTAACGGCAGGTTGCAGGGGTTTACACCTTCACGCTTAGGAGCTCAAGGCTGTTAGGGCTGCTGGCTGGGCCTGATGGCATGATTGGGCTCCGAGACATTGGATCCAGCAGCTGAGCAACACCATCTGCGATACACCCCAGTGCTCTCGACCCACCACCCCAAGCGAGCAAAAAACCAATAGACCTAAGCCCCAAGCCCCTAAACCCTAAATGCCTTAAACTGCTAGGCCCCGTATACCCTAAACCGGAGCCAAGGCACAGTACTGCCAGCGTAAACGCCGACAGCCCCTTGTCTGCCCTCAAGTCGGGGCTCACCTGGCACCCAGCAAGCCCAATACACCCCCTCGAAGAGGGAATCTTTTTCAAACATTTTTAGCGAATATGTCTTCTTTCAAGAGTACGATACCTGCGTTGAACGGATGTTGGGGCTCGCATAGGCACGATCGGCACTGCCGGGTTTGGGTCCCAGATGTAAGGGTTTGGGCTCGGGGGCTGATGTTTATGAGCTGAGATTCGGTTCACTCGTTTAGCATCAGCACTAGGCACGTCTCTGTACGGGGCAATGAACCCGAAGAGCCCAGCATGAAAGCCTCAACCTCAGAACGCTGCTATCAAGCTGAACATGATCACAGCTTGATGTTGACAAGGCGGTGGGTCCCCGACGCCCGTTCTGAGAAGGTAGCGGCAAACGTCGAGGTGCCCGCCACCTGGAACGTCACGACTCGGAGCTTGCATGGGTTCAAGCTCTGCAGTTTACGAGCACGGGGACAGCCCGCAGATGCAGGCGTTCAGAAGCTTTCGTGCAGGCTTCTCTCTCCGATCGCGCTGCACTTACTCTGTCAAAGAGGAGTCTGCTGGCACTCAAATCACCCGTACACTCTGCAGTATACCCAGGTGTGTCAAAGCTCTTGCTCGATTCAGGCTGTGGCTCGCTGCAAAGTGCAGTGCTCTCGCACCGGTGGAGCCATTCTCCCGGAAAAAGCCGACCATTCCTCAGCAGTCCACATTCAATAGATTCCTTTTGCCAACCGAAGCCGGTGGTCACTCCGGATCTATGTCAGAATTCGCCGCGAAAGTCAACGTCCTTTTGGCAGTCTCTTCCCATTAATGTTTACGACCCTCCCGGCCCTTTTCGTTTCGTCTGTTCAAGATAAGACCATGCGCAATTCTGCTTCCAGCTGTCATCCAATCGAAGCCACAAACCATTGAAGAGCATAGTTTAGTTCTGAGGGTCCCACTGATGGATCCTACTTGTAACCGCTCATTTTGGCATTCAGGTAATTAGAGACAACCCTAAGCCTGAGGTGTTATGAGAAGCCGAAGCTCATGACTTTCCTTCTCCTCCGGAGCTCAGGAACTTCGTACCATAAGAACTTGCAAAGGCTTGGCCGCCGGCTTAGAAAGCCGCATGCAGAAGCCCCATCGATAGGGAGCAACTGCTGCTGCTGGCTAACACCTGTGCACATGCCATGGTTTTGGCTTTGAGCGGAGCTTGAGTGCGTCGGGCATAAAGCACAAACTCCCGAGTTCAAACAAAAAGATAGGAGTTCACAAATTCGAAGACAAGGTGGAAACCCTCAGCCCTCCTTGCAGCATAGCTCGCCCACACAACCTAAAACTACACTCGGAGACATCCGCTTGCAATGGATCTGTTGAACTGGCTCAACAATCCACACTCAAAGCCATCCTCAGAGCGTGCAGTACTTCTGGGGACAGATGTACGAAGCTCAGATACTTCGAGTTGTGGATGCAGCCTGATCCCCGCATCCGCGCCCGGAATCTGTGCATTCTGAGACCTCCAGATCGATGGAGGTCGGCCCCTCGAACGTAGAGGTACTGGGCTGCCTGGAGATTCCTGCGCACCACCCGGCCTACGGGCCGCTACTTGAAGCAGGAGAAGGATTAGGATGCGATCGGAAAACCGAACCTGGTGCAAAACTGAACTATCGCCCCTCCAGGTATGCAGTTATATGGGATCCAGGTCAAAGGAACCCTGAGCTCACGCAGCCGTCACTTTTGCTGCCTGCCTGAAATCCCATCCTCGATGATCAGTCATCAAGATGAGCCATGACGTCGTGTGTTTGCAGTGCAGTGCAAACGCCGAACAACAATTTACAACACATTACCCAAAGCATCTGGCAACAGGTGCACAAATTCACAAAGCCAGATGGGCAGCATGCGGCCTCTGAGTTGAATTCGGCTGGTGTATGGGCAGAGCTTTCTGTGTCAGCAGTTTCTAAGAGGAGCATCACCATCGATGGTTCATTAAATGGTTGTCTCACAGGACATGCGATTTACGTCGAAAGGTTCATCGATCACTCTCCATGCCTCTATTCCAGCAGTGGGAAGTCACAAATTCTGCAATGGTGTGAGCTCGGTCGTCTCAGCGCGGCCGGCGAATCTGAGTGTTCACGTGCCACTCATCCAACAACGAAGCTCTCTGACTCTCTTTGGGCTTCTTGCTGGCCCGTCGCACGTCCGCAGTCTCCGGGACCACGGGCCGCGCGGGCTTCTCCCGCTTCAGGCAGCTGAAGAGCTCTCCTAGTGGTTCGTCCTCGATAGCCATTTTCTGGTCCTCTGATTGCCCGGCCAGTCTCTCCTTCTGAGTGACAGTTTCGGTCCGCTGCGCCTGAGGCCGGCCCTTCTCGCACTCCGAGGAAAGCTTCACGGACGGAGGCAGGGAAGGATCCAGCGTGCGGAATACACCGTGGCCCAGCAATGCACCAGTCGACTGCCGCAGCGCAGGGCAACAGCACACCATGGAGGAGATGAGATTGTGCCTTGTTTGTGCTTCAGCTCTCATACCTGTGGAATCGCAGTTCTTAAATCTTGCTGGTAAGAGTGTTTTCAGTTGTTGCTGCTTTTGTTGTTGTTGCTGCGGGGTGTGCTGCTTTCTGTTGTTGCTTTGCGGTTGGCTGAAAATTGCTGCTCTGCGGCACAATTGCTAGTGCTAGTACTACTTTTTTGCTATGACTGTGGGGTGCGTTGCTTTGGCACTCGCTGCGGTGCTTTTTCTCTTTTGCTGTCGCTGAGGGGTGCTGTCGCTGCCGGGAGCTAGATTTCTCCCCCTGTCGCTGCGTTGCCCTTTTGTGTTTTTTTTTGCATGCTTTTAGGGACCTTGGAGAAGCTGTGTCTTGCGGCAAGCTTGTCTTGTGTTGCTGCTGAGGAGCCGCCAGGGCTCGGCTCACTCACTGACTCACTCACTCACTCGCCCGTGTGAGACGCTGGTTTGGATTTTTGTTGTTGCTGTGACCGCAGGCTTCACTCACTCACTCACTCACTCACTCACTCACTCACTCACTCACTCACTCACTCCACTCGAGGGATGCTCGTGTCCTGCAGACCTTTGTTTGGTGGTTGATGTTGGTTTGTTGCTGTCAGTTCTGCTGCGGGGTGCGAGGAGCTGCATTCGCCCACGAACAGCACAAATCAAAGGTCGACATGATCTTGCCAAGGTGCATGCCCGGTGTGCGCTTCACTTTCTCGTGCCAGAATCCCGGCTGGAAGTTTGGAAATTCAGTTGACCAGTTGGCCAAGGATGTCACTCCAGGCCATGATGACTCATTCGGTGTGCCCAGTAGCTTAAACTGCTGGAAGAGCATGCCTATCTCCGAGGAGCCAGGGAACAAGGGCTCGTTCAGCAGCATCTCTGCAAAGACACATCCCAGTGACCAAACATCGAGCCGCACACCGCAGTGGCCACAGCTCTCTGATCCTAACAAGATCTCCGGGCCACGATACCATAGTGAGGCCACCTTGTGTGTCTCCGGGCTTTGCGAAACGGTTGGCTGAACGACCACGGAGCGAGCCAGGGAGAAATCGCACAACTTCAACTCATCGCTTTCTGGCTTCACCTCAATGACTCAAAGTCATTACAAAGCTACTGCACGGTAAAAAATGTCAGATCAATACATCACACATCTACAACTGCCTTAAGTGTTCAACGACTCAGACGACTCAGACACTGCGGCTACTCGTGACTCGTGATTCGATTATAGCTCAGCTCAGCCACGAGGATGTTCTGGGGTTTGACATCCCTGTGCGCGACGCGATGAACGTGGCAGTGAGCCATGGCATTGAGCAGCTGCCAGGAGAAGCGCACCACCCCTTACGGCGGGAATTCTTTTGTTTTGGTTTCATCCTTGTCGTGCTAGGAGCTCTTGCTTATAGCCAAGGCTCGACTTTCGGAGAGGGAGCCTGCTTCTTGCATGTACCGTGCGAGGTCGCGCTCGAAGTACTCGAAGACCATGAAGAGCTTTCCTGCTTCTCCATAGACTTCCAGCAATGGCCTCAGTGTTTCAGATCGACGCACCCTGGCCGTACACCCATGAGGTGGTTCCTGCGATGCTGCTCCTAGGCCACGAGTCGAGGGTAAAGCGCCGTTGCAAACGCGGGCTTTGGGTTCAACGAGGCGCTTGGGGGACTTCTGCTGTACAACTTTGTGTGACTATTTTGCGAAAGGTCAATCTGGTGTTGGGCTGTGGAGCACCCATGTACTCTCTGAGCGCTCGAAATTGCTTGAGGTTCCGGGCAGCTGGCTTTAAGTTCTATGCTGGCATGCGGCAAAATCCACTTAGATACCCTGACTGGGTCCCCAAAGCCACACTAACTACGCTCTCCGTTAGTCTAGCCATTTTCTATTATTCTCCGTACACAACCATCATTCGATCTAAGCTCTGTTGTACGGTGTTGCAAGATTTGCAGCACTGTCTTGTTGCGTTACCAGCAGCACCGTCTTTGCCAAGGAGCACGATGCCCGGATGCTTGCCGAGGGACTTCAACACGGCCACCTGCCAACACATCATAAATAATCAGTTCTGCTTGAACCAAACACAATCATGCAAGAGGGGTGAATACCTGGAAGAGGGTGTTGCTGCACACGAAACTAACTGCATTGGATGATGAAGTGTTCCTTGCTTTGGCTTTTGGAGGAAAAAACAGTTGAGACTTCGGGTCTGGGTTGGGCTTCCTTCGATTCGCAAAGCTGGGCGTGGAAACGTATCGAAAGGACGTTTTGTTACACTACACATCCCTGTCTGCATATATGTGTATGTACAGCTAGACTCTCTCGCGATAACATCAAAGCTGACGCCACCTCGCGGAGTACTTGCGCCGAAGCCCCGAACGCCCCCAGGAGGGACGGGCCATCAGAGGTACCTCCAGAAGCCCGAGGGCCCTAAAGCTTGCAGACCTGTGTAACTTTATTTGCCAGAGCTCTTCAAGTTGTCAACAGAACCGCGGAAATTAGGTCGAGAGCAGGAGAGAAAGAACAGCAACCCGACGAGCAGGATCATCGAATAGCTCTGGAGGAAGGCACGTCCAGATTTCAGATCTTCAAAGTAACTCAAAATGTGCGGAACATGGAGGTACACAGAGTTAGCGATCTTAACCGCCTCAAGGCTCGGAGTTATGCTATCCCCAAAGTAGCACCGAGGAAGAGCACCCAACCCCTGAAATGTGCGGAGCTTTACACCGTAAGTCCCAAACATCGTACCATAGGCATACACCAGCGCAGTTATCATCTTACTTTTCCAGCCTAGTAGATTTCCGGTCAACTCTAGCATCCTGCGGGAATCTCTGAGGTAGTTGCTGCCTTCGAGGATATCCTGATTGCATGAAGAACGAATAAGAAGATTTACACTTGTCCTATATTCCCATATTGCAGATTTCTTTGATTCCGAAGCCAGTTTGGGTATGTCTATATGCAAATATACATATACATACATATATATATATATGTATACATGTGCAAATATACATACACACAGATGTTTTTGTATGAATGTATGTATATACGAATATTCATATTATGTTATGCTATGTTATGTGTGTACACATGATTATGCATACATGATTATATATGTATGAATATGTATGTATGTATGTATGTATGTATGTATGTGTGTGTGTGTGTGTGTAGGTAGGTAGGTAGGTAGGTAGGTAGGTAGGTAGGTAGGTAGGTAGGTAGGTAGGTAGGTAGGTAGGTAGGTAGGTAGGTAGGTAGGTAGGTAGAGGGCCACGCACCAGCTGACAAACCCGATG